GAAGAAGAAGAAGAAGAAGAAGAAGAAGAAGAAGAAGAAGAAGAAGAAGAAGAAGAAGAAGAAGAAGAAGAAGAAGAAGAAGAGGAGGAGGAGAAGGGGAGGAGAAAGGGAAGCTGAAGTTTTTTAAAAAGTGGGTACGGGTGCAAACGGAAAGATAAAGCGGCTACAGGTTAAAAGGGGCGCCCAAATAGGGCGCCCCGTGCAATTGGATAGAATATAAGCCAGTGTTAGGTTCAATTGAACCGATATTCTAAACTATAAGTCCGACCATGATTGCACTTTGTGTAACTAGGGGTGTTAATGGTTCGGTTTGGATCTTAAAAGAAACCAAACCAAGTAAGTCGGTTTTTCAAATATTAGATCCAAAACAAACCAATTAAGCCGGTTTTTTCTCAATTCGGTTTATGTCGGATTTTGTCAGTTTTTCGACTATTTGTCGGTTTTTTCTTAAATATAAGACATACACTACCAAACACATATTCCGGCTACTACATTTTCAACGTAACACTATCAAATCAATTGCCCTTTGAGAAATCTATTATTTACCAAGATATATTGATGATAAATGAATCAAATAGTGATGAATAATTTAAGGACTCAATTAAAAATATATTATTTTTAACATGAAATGGATTCTTACATTTAACAAAAAAAAATTACCAATCAAACTAGAATGTAAAGGTAAAGAATTGCACTAAAAGTGCAAACGCTTAACACTTACCATAAAAAATTTGAAACTTTGTATAAAAATATACATATATACGGGTATAATAATAAATTTGAAATAGCTACTCCTATAGTTAGTTTGGTTCGGTTTTTTTCTGTTTTTTTAATTAAAACCAAAACCAAACTAAATTTGATCCGTATTTAAAATTCAAAACCAAAACCAAACCAAACCAAAAGGTATCGATTTTTTGGTCGATTTGATTTAATTTTCGGTTTGGTTTGATTTTTGGGATTTTTATGAATACCCCTATGTAACTATGAAGTCTGCAGGTTCTTGTGGTTCGTGTGATGATCGTGCAGGTAATTCATTGCTTTTGTAGATTTTTTTTTAACTATATAATAAGTGAAAGTCCCTTGGTACGACCAAGGGTACTTTCGTAAATGTTAATTTTAAAATGGTGGTATTCTGGTAAAAATACTGACTTATAGATTTCCACGTGTCCAACTTTAAACACCACGTCTCTTTAGATTTTGCTCTTCACTTGGGTTCTTCTTTGTCATCAGAGAAGGCCCCCATTTCCAGTTCTCGCTTCATCGTTCTTCTGCTTTCTTTCCCCCCTCTTTATAGTGAGTTTTATTGTTCTTCTTCTTCCTCTTTGCGTATTATTTCTGATTGATTTTGTTTTTTTATCTTTTATGTTTTGGGTATTCTAAGAGCGACATAGTTTCTAATTAATTGCATACTATGAACAAATCAAGAAGACCTAATTAAGAAATATTCCGATGTTGGTTGTTGGTTCAGATGATCTGTTTTTGCATTATTAAATTTCTCTTCACCGATCCTGAATGAATTTCTTTTTTATCAAGTCTTGAATAGATATTTTCATGACTTTTTGTTGGTCTTTCTTCATCTTCTCTGTACCGATTCTGCACATGCATGTGAATAATTGTGTAGCAGCCTCTGTGGGAGTACATACAGTGTTGTAGTCAAGGTGTTTGCTGATATGCCTGAAGGAACTTACCAATTGTTTATTTGCTATCGTTTTAACTTTTACATGTAGTTGATGATGTATTTGCTTGCTGAAAGGATTTGTTTTTGAATTGGTACCTTTAATTATATAATAACAACTTACAAGATTTCATCTAATATAACATTCTTTGAATATTCCTTTGTTTCCTGAGCTATTCATGTGTTTCGATCCATTATTTTAAAATATATTTGTACATCTTGAAATTTTGGGTAATTCTTTGTTGAATTTCTGCATATATATTGGTCAGTTCGTCTGATTTGCTCATGTATGTTTTATGTTCCCACAATACGGTGCTACTATTTTCTTCAAATTATACTACTATTTTGTATTTTGTTATTTCTGATGAGATTTCGACTAAGATTTATAGTCTGTCACTACATTGATATTTCTTTTAAAAGCTAATTTGATCTGATTTTTTCTTGAAGATTAATCTCAGCTGACTTTTTTAAGGGGAGATCAATGTCATCTTTGTTTTTCAAAGATAAATTTGAGTTGATTCTTGAAAATATGTTCTTGGAGTTATATTATTCCGAGGAAATCACTTAAAATCTATTGATTCTCTTGTTATTGTTGTTACGTGATTATAATCGTTTTCTAATTGTTTAAGCTTCCTCGAATTGAACCTTGTAAAAGCAACTGATTCTCTTCTTCTTCCTCGATCTATGACGATTTTGCAACCAGATTGCTCTTTTAATTTTAGGCGCACCTGTTTACATATTTTCCACGACTCATAACTAGTGATATTCTGTGAATTTTAATTTCTCAATACATGACATATTCGAACTTTTGTGATCCTTTTATTTGGAATATAATGATCACATAATTTTGATTTCACAGGCTTTTGAAAATAGAAGTCGCTCCAGGTGGTGGAAAAAGGGAGACTGCCTCGACTGTAAGATGTAATTTCTGCACTTTTTTATTCTAATGTTGCTTGCTTAATCATAATGCAAGATAGTTGTGCTTTATATTTCATGTTATGCTGTATAGATTGTCTACTCTACGAATAAATTAAATGCCAAGGTTATAAAATGTACACTTTATTTTTAAAGAAACTTTCTGAAATGCCTGAAAAATAGATGTCTAACAATAAAAGAAAGATAGACGAAGCTCCGGTTGAATATTAGTCCCTTTTTGTTTCTGTTTCTATTAGTTTCTAAATTGTTAATTTTATGATTCAAAAACTATTTTTCAGGTATTAACTTCAAGTTGTTGACTAAAATTGTCCCTTATCTATGGAAGTAGGTTTATTTTTGTCCTTCAAATATAACCCAGAGCATCTTTAATCCCTTAACTTTGCTAAAGTGGAGCACTTTTAGTCTCACTAACAAAATCAAGTTAAAAACTAACGGAAGGGGCAAATTTTCTAACGGTGCTTTCCCTGAAGCTTTCTCAAATAATATGGCGGGTCATTTTTTTATATCGACAAACGATAATTTACTGCGCTCTCATGATTAATTTGGTAGTACTTCCTTCGGCCACACCCTTCCCTCTTAGAAATTCATTACAAATCACAAACAACAATTGTTAACTTGACAGAACCACGCACCAAACAAATATTATCATTGTTCTTAGCTCACTGTCAACAAAAACACGCACTCCCCTCCGTTTCCAGTGACAACGTAGAGTATAAGAAAAACATATCGAAGTTGCCAAATGCACATTTGAAATCCGTAACAAGATGATGAGGGACAGAGAATCGTCTGACGAAGAAGAGGATCTAGAAAACTTGATCCAGCAAAATGAATGTGTAAATGATCATCCATCCCAAATCTCCACTTCGCTCCACATTCCAAATCGACGACGTCAAGGACCGATTTTCCTTTAATCGGCGTTTTAATTTCATCTTCAGTGAGTGGTATTTCTTAGATATTACTCTCCCAATTTAAGTACTCATTCTTTATTTCACTACCGACATCAAAAACCTATTTCAGACCACCGTTACTAACATTAAGTACGATGGTTCCATCAATTTCATGCGTGAGTCCGAACTGAATGTTGGTTCCATCAACAGTTACTCGTTCTTTAATCTCTAGATAACTGCTATTGCTAAAGGTCTATACAACTGCTATTGATAAAGGTTAAATTAGTTTCACCTTGTCCTAAGAGATGAAGAAGGGAGAAGGAAAGAAAACGTGTCTCAGTCAAGGAAAAGGATAACACTGTTAGTTGAATTCTGCACATATGATAGTTTATTTTAAAAAAATATGTCTCGTACATTAATTGCTCCTTGGTTAAAAGGTGGGGGTGTCACTATTTTAAATTAATAAAATTACAGAACCCCTAGGGATATTATTTAAGAAGTTTCAAGGAAAGCACCAAAAATTTGCCCCTTCCATTAGTTTTTAACTTGATTCTGTTAGTGAGACTAAATGTGCTCCACTTAAGCAAAGTTAAAGGATTAAAGATGCTCTAGGTTATATTTGAAGGACAAAAATGAACCCACTCTCATAGATAAGGGACGATTTTAGTCAAAAACTCTATTAACTTCACTCGGAAGAGTGACATTGGCACTCAATTTGAAGTTTGAAATATTGACAAGAAGCTTATATTTTTGGCAGTCAAATGTGTGCTATCAGCTTTAATTTTTCACTTTGTAATGGTTGTGAATTTGCTGGTGAGGTTAAATAGCCTTCCATATTTTTTGTTGTTGTTTATTGTGTTGCATTTTTAATTGATGAGAAGTTTCTCTTTGTAATACTTCTTGGCTTTTTTGCAGCTTGAAGATGTGAGATTATTTTCATTGAGAAGTTCCATTGACATCACAAAGGTAAGCAATGTCCCTTTATTGAGGTTCCTTTATTATGGAGTTTGTACAACTTCGTGGTAGATGCTTCACATTCTTAGTACGATAAATTTCAGAAATGTCCATCTTTATCATAGTAAAGATCCTTCCATTTGAAGCATTTCTTGCCATTTTCTTCTGCTCATCGGAGAAATTCACCAATGATGAGTCCATTCCCGTGTTATAGGCATTTAATTTGTAGTACATTCTATCTAACTCTTAGTTACATAAGATGTGACAGTCTACATAGTCAACTATTCAGCTTCCATGATGATCTCATTGTAAGAAATTGACTTTCTGACCATCAGCATGACAAATTTAATGTTTGAGGCAAGTACAAGGGGATTTGTGCACCCCAAGTAGAAGAATTGTTCTATATAAAATTGAATAATTGCTTCAGGAAGCAGGTCAGCCTGACTTTTTGATACACACGATGGGTAGAAGGGAAATGCGAGTGTTGAAATGTGAATTTGTGTAATTATCAGTTGGGTTTTCAATGGAGTCTACAAGATTCAAACTTTGTTCCTGTTGGTGGTTTGTTTGCATCAGTCTATGGGTTTTGGTGTTTCATCACCTAATAATCCGAATTCCCGGGACAAAAATGGTGGATTTAAGTTACCTTATTTTGATTTGTATATGAAGTATTTGTCATTCCCTGAGATTGTAGGCAATGAAGAGGAGGAAGAAGAAGAAGAAGAAGAAGAAGGGTGGGCTAAAGATTATTAAGGTGTCAACTCCTTCATTAAGGAGGTTACTTAGTGGTGCAATTGCCGGGGAGATATCTAGGACAATTGTAGCTCCACTGGAGACAATAAGAACACATTTGGTGGTTGGAAGTAGTGGAAATCTTCTACTAGGATATTCAATAATATTATAAATACTGAAGGATGGACTAGATTATTTAGGACTTAGGAGTAACTTGGTTAATGTGATTCGAGTTGCGCCTAGCAAAGCTGTAAAGGTAAATTTTAAATCTTCCCCTCTTCTTTATTTATTTGTTTGGTACTCATTCATAACCTTGAGTTTGTGGCTTTTACTTTATCCTTTGAATCCTCGGTAAGTTCGAAATTTTGCTTTAATTTCAACATTAATACTAAGTAAATATATGGTCCTTGTTTCTCTATTGATGTTTAGGTTGAGGAAGAGAAGTTCCCCTTTTACGCCTCACCAATATTTCTTGATGTTAATATTTTGTCCTTGCTATTGCTTTTGTTGTGGATCATGGATTTAGCTTGGTATACTATGTTCTAATTCTAATGCTTGTTTTTCCTTGTATTTCAGTAAATACCAAGATGAAGCATGTGTTGTTAGCTGCAGCTCTTAAACTCCAGATTTTATCCAAAATCTTTTGATTAGTGGGACCACCAACATGAACTTAAACAATCCTGACTGTTTTGGTCTTTCTAGCAAGCTAAAGAATGTACTTGTACAACTTTGTTCCGTAAATACATCGACATGTATGATGTACTTTATGTTAATATTAAGCACATTATGTTAATATTTAGCTTCGTGATACTGTTTTTTATTTTTTCATAGTCTAACTAAACAACAAAGTTATTTTCTGCACTACTATTTCGCACAAACCATCTAGTACAGAATATAATAACACACTTATTGGGAGTAGGTAGTCAAAGAAATATTTTTGTCGTAAAAAAAGACTAGAAAAGCCATGTTTTGATAAGGTCAAACATGAACCTAATTTTGGTTACAAACATTTCCAACAAACTTATGTAAATTCATGAGATCGTTAAGGCATATAATTACTCATCCTTTAATTGTTCTATTAGGAGTTATACTCTAGTCTCTTTTTTAAGTTAACATCAGTTAAAAGTGATTGTTTAATAATTAGTAAAGTGACCAACAAAGCACAATTTATATTTATTGGATGTTAAGATTGTTTATCATGAGGACAAATTAAAGTTTAACAATAAAACTATAATCTTAATTTTCCCCAATCTGGTGTTTAGACACCATATCAATAATTTAAAATAACACGGAACGTACGAGCATAAAAACACAAAAGTTAATATTTCTATAAACACAAAAGCAGACATGAATATGTTGTTCCCATACCAAAAATAATAAAAATAAATTCCTAGTTGAAATAATACATGCAACAACTTTTTAAGGGACGGAAGTGTAACATATACAACTAATAAACTTTTTCAAGAAATGAAAAGAAATAGTTAAAGTTCAAAGTTGACAATAATACATAGGGGTGGCAATTTGAACCCCAACCCATTCAACCCGCCCAGAGATTAATGGGTTGGGCTACAAACATTTTAGCTCATGGGTCAGTTTGGGTTGAACCCAAGTTAACCCATTATTTTTGGGGGTTTTGACACAGTTATCTACAAAAACAAAATTATTTATCCTTGTCTACCCATTTGTTTTCATACCCATAAACTAATTACATTTCCTACCCATAGTATGTTTTGTGGGGAATTTTTTCTTTATTCTACAAATCTTTTTTAATTCTATGCTTCTTTTCTTTTCTTTTTTCTTTTTTTTTCTTTTCTCCTTTTTTTTTCTCGTTTTCTTCTTTTTTTTTTTCTTTTTTCCTTTTCTAATTTTATTTAACATCTGTCTTTTATATTCTTTTTCTCTTTATAATCTAATTTCATTTACTGTTTTCACTATTTTTTATTATTCTTTTTTTTTATATTATTACTAAAGAAAAATCAAATTGTGTACCAATTAAATGTAGTTAATACAACAAAAAAATATTAATTAACATAAGATACCGGTATAGTATATAGTATTACCAACAGGGTATACAATTGTACGCAAAGAGTTAAAAAAATTTTAATTCAATTATTAAACTTAAATAATATCAGTTGTCAAAAAAAATTAAAAATCCTAAAAGGACCTAATTGTAAGAGTATACCATTACATCATATAGCATACTATAATTTATTTTTATTTTTTTGCATTTTCAGCTTGCCCCTCACGCTTGGGTAAAAGCTTAAAACAAATTAAAAGAGAAAAGACAAGTAAATTTACGAGTAAATAAGTATACTATTATAGTATATTGTATACTATTACAGCATATTGTTACAGTATCTTGCATATTATTACAGTATACCATAACAATATATTGTATACTATAATAGTATACTGTTGCAGTATAACTATATACTCCTATAGTATATTAGTATACTGTAGCGGTATACTGTTTACAGTATACTATTTTATAAAGTATAATAGTATAGTGTTGCAATATAGCTATATACTCCTACATCATATTGTATACCGTAGCGGTATATTGTAGCTGTGTTCTTCTTCGATTTTCAACTGAAAATTTCGATCTCAATCACCTCAAATCAGCTCCAAATGCTATCAAATTTCAGTATGAACTTCCAGAAGGTACTATAAGCAATATTTAACAACACCCACTTTGAATCAAACAAGAAATCCTTAAAATAATTAGATCTAATTTCTTTTGAAGAATGATATAAGGGAAATGGAAGAGTTTGTCCAAGTCTTCTTCACGGAGGCGAACTTTGTCCAAGTCATTGATATCTGGGTGTGTCAAAAGGAAGAGTTTGTGTGCAAGAACTAGCTCGGGTTATTGTGTTCCTTCTTCCGCATCCATGGCTACCTTTCTTTGCTATTTCTTGGTTTTTTTTTGTTTCATTGTACTTTCAAATGCCTATGTGAAGAAGAAGAAAACGAGAAAAGGAAAAAATCGGGTACTTTCATATGCCTCTGTGAAGAAGAAGAAGAAGAAAACGGGAAAAGAAAAAAACTGGGTACTTTCAGATGCCTCTATGAAGAAGAAGAAAACGAGAAAAGGGAAAAATCGGGTAAATAGTTTGGGCCCCATGGGTAGGAGTAGTAAATAGTTTGGGCCTGGGCATTAAAGGGTAAATAGTTTAAGATTAATGGGTATAAAGTGAGATTTTCTCTTATTTTTTTATAGCCCATTCTGACCCATTAAGCAGTCCAAATACAACCCATGAAATATACCCAAAACAAAGGGATCTCAACCCAACTTATCTAGAAATTTACTAAGTTGCCCCAATTTTACTCTTTTTTTTTTGTATTTTCAATTTTCTGTTCTTTTGTTGTTCTGCACAACCCACCCACCCCACCCCCTAAACCCCCTCCCCCGCAAACCCCTCAAATTTTTAATTTCTATTTTTTGTTTTCTACACTATCCACCCATCCTACCCCCCTACAAACCCCTTCACTTTCTTTTTTTTTTTTTTTGTATGATTTTCAATTTTCTGCACCACCCTACACCCTATCCCCCCCTCCCCACCCCCACGCAAATCCCCTCAATTTTTTTTTTGTATTTTTAATTTTCTATTTTATCGTTTTTTGGCATCACCCAACCCCCACCCCCACCCTCACTCGCAAAATATTTTTCAACTAACGCATTTTAAGGTAAAAGGTTTTTTATGCAAGATGAGCATGGTTCTAAAACATGGGTCTAGTTGGGCGAGTTGGGTTATGACCCATTGTTTAGCCTATCTTAACCCAACCCATCTTAGCCCAAGTACACTTTAGACTGTGTTGGGCAATGACCCATTAACCTAAGCCATCTTGACCCGCCCAAATTCAGCCCAACCCGCCCCATCTGCCACCCCTACCTATAACCTACTTTGTCTTCTTCCTTCTTTTTTTTTCCGAAACTTATCCCGCTTCCAACTCCAATGTAAAATTGCTAATTTTATTCCACTAATTTTATTAGAATTTGCACGAATTTAATTGCGTAATCTATTTATAAGACATATTTGGTGATAAATTAGCAGAAATGGGTTTTCTTAAATAATTTTTATGTATAAATCTTGATAAATTTAATATCTAACAATTGAGAGTATTTTAGTAATTTATCAGTTATAGTACAGTACGATACAGTCAAACCAAATAGCGAAATGTTATTTAACAATAGCAAGCAATACAATCGATCCAAACGTTGTATATATAAAACGATACAATACAATACAATACATTATAAGACGATGGGTAACAACCATCCAAACAAGCTGTAAAGAAGCCCCGCTAAAATTTTCAGAGGAGAATAAGGCCTCATTTGTTTTTTTTTTAAAGATTAAGACGTCTGGATCTGAATACACATCTGAATATCAAGATGTGTATTAAGATTAAGATATCTGAATCTGAATACACATCTGAATATATTAAGATGTGTATTAAGATCTGAATACTAAAAATTAAGACCGTTTGATTTTTAACATCCAAATGCATAAAATTTATCTTTATTTAAAAAAAGAAATCTAATATTCTATCAATAAAATATATAGTTTTTTAAAATATGATAGTTGTTGGTGGTGATGGCTAACGGGTGAATGCCGACTAAACGTGGTGGTTGGTGGTAATTTTGGTTGATGATGGTGGTTCATGCTAGTAGCTAGTAGTGATTGGTAGTAGCGGCAATTATGATTGATGATGGTGGTGGTGGTGGTGGGTGGTGATAGTTAATAATGGCGGGTGGTGGTTTGTGATTGAGGAAGGTGGTGATAGGTTATAATGATAGGCGGTGCCGGTTGTGGTTGTTAATGGTGATGGGGTGGTTGGTTGTGGTAGTTGAGGTGGATAAGTGTTGACTGTGAGTTAGAATGATGGTGGTCGGAGTGGTGGGATGGTGGATGGTGATGGCCGATAATGGTGGCGGCTATGATTGAGGATGATGGTGGCGTGGTGGCGGCGGCGGTGGTGGTAGTTGTGGTGGTGGCTGAGTATGGTGGTGGCAACGACATGGTGGCAGTTGATAATGGTAGGCGGTAGCTGCAGTTAATAATGAATATGTGATAGTATCTTAATGAAATTAAGTCTCTGTTACAGATCTTAATCATACAGACCTATTCAGACTCATTAAGTGGTTGTTAAGTAAAAAAAATAAACACACTTAATGGTTAAGATCTGAATAATTAAGATTCAGACTTTAAAAACAAACGCACTTAATATCTAATATATGAATGATTAAGATTCAGACATTCATTAAGTGCAAACAAATGAGGCCTAAATAGGCGCAAACATGTATATATCGCTTCCCTTGTAACAAACTCATGTATCACAAACATACAAAGTTCTTGTAACCGACCTATATATAGACACATAGGAAAATAACATGCACACAAATTGGCCTTTTTATTTTATATTTTATAGTCGAAGTGAACTTACATGTACCTTTGAATGTTCTACCAAATATTTAAATAAATTTATATAATAAAGTTTAGATAAATAAAAGAATACCTAATATTTTTTCTTGAGTTGGTAGAGGTACTCTCGTAATCTTTCTTTTAAACTTCACAAACGACAAGATCACAAATTTGGATGAAGTCTAAGCATACAATTTTAGCAATTACACGTACGCAATTTTTTTTAATAAAATTATTTTCTTTTATTTAGATTATTATAATAAAAAATAGAAGATTTTTTTTCCCCACATGATAGTAGTAATAGTATTTCTTTAAAATTCTCTCTATTGATATCTGTCACTAACTCTCATAAAATAAAAAGGGTAAAAAAGATAGAGAAAAAGCATCTGTGGGGAAACCCTAATTTCGTCGATTCAGTTTCATTTCAGCCTCGCATTACCTATCTCTCTATTTTTCTCTCTCTCATTCTCTGTCTATATTCAATTCCCCAATCTCTCTCTCTCTTTCTCTCTCTAAAAATTCCCAACTCATCCGTCTTCTCGAAAATTCTTCACCGGTATAACGATTCCTCGATCGATCCGTCCCCTCCTCTTCCCTTAAAGGTATGCTTCTCTCGATCTTCTGTAGCAGATTGATTATTTATTTTCTCCTTCTTTTTTCTTCTGATTTTTTATTATTATTTAGATGTCGGTTTGGAGGATTGGTAAATTATTAGGAGGTTTTGTTTACTTTTCTACGAAGGGGAATTTGGCGCTTATGTTGGTTATATAGCCATGTAAATTTTCCTTGTATTGATTTGTGTTTATGGTCATGATTAGTATTAGGGAAAATAAAATGATCCATATTTAAGCATGAATTTTCCATGGATAAAGGAGGATGGGTGCGGTATGATTCGGGCAGGGGAAAAAAATAGTCAAATTATGTTGAATCCTCAAAATGATGGATGGCGGACATGGAATAAGATGGGCCCAGATAGGGCAGAATGGATATAGAGTGATTGATATTATTGACAATCATTGGATTGAGGCATTCAGGCGTAGTTGTTATTGTTATGTATGGATAAAATAGTCAAATTATGTTGAATCCTCAAAACGATGGTAGTGATGGGACTTGGAATAGATGGGGCTCAAATAGAGCAGAATGGATAGAGAAGATTTTTTTAATGGCTGAGAAATCCGTCTGGGCCAACCCTCAGGACCAACCGCAGCCTACGAAGCTCGGGGATAATAGTGGATTCATATAGCTGACACATCTAATTTGGATCGAGGCATTTTGGGGTATTCATTTGTGCTATTATGCAGGGAAGTTGTGGTTTTATGGGGTAAGGATGGGTTCGGCTGGAGAAGCTGCCAAAGGAAATGGGATTGCAGCAAGATTCTATTAGAAAAGTTGGATCTTTTTTTTCTTTGTATTGGTTAACAACCCCCCCCCCCCCCCCCCCCCCTTTCTTTTGTCTTGGCGAAAATGCTCATAAGTAAAAGATGCTGAAAGCCTAAATGATTGTGAGATATTCGCTGTCATGGTTGCAATGAGACTCTTTTATTTGTCTCGGAAAAGGGGTGGGATTCTCTTTTTAAACGTCCTTCACTCCTCACATTCGTGAATAGGTCTAAATTAGTGTTGTCAAACGTGTGCTTAAAGCGGCCTTAAGCCCTGGAGCGAGGCACAAAACATGTTGAGCGCTTCGCCTAGCAATACGAAGAAGATCTCAATTTATAATGAAGAAATGATAGTAGCTCTATGTTTTATAGGCTTTATCATATTCAGTCGGAAGAGTTTAGGTAATACTTTCAAAGTGACTCTCGACTAGGTAATACTTTCAAAGTGACTCTCGACTGGAGAATCCAGGCTATCCAAGAAGAATCGCAATTATGAACTAATGAACTAGCCCTATTGGAACACTAACACTTATTAAAAAGAGTTTCCCTTGGTCTATGAACGGGAAGGATGAAAGCAAGTCAGTATGCTAATTCCTCATCCGCAAATCAGCCCTTCCTGTAGGTTCTTTTCTCAAAGAATGAAGAAATGGAGGAGGGAAATCTTGATAGAATTTGAAAAAGCAAACGACAAGTCGAAGGCAATAAAATATGAAAATGTATTTATTTTTCATATTTCTAAGCTAAGATTAAACAAAAGGATTCACAAATAAAAGTGCTAATGCTACAACCAGTCCATAAATTGTTAAAGCTTCCATAAAAGCTAGACTAAGCAATAGCGTACCTCGTATTTTTCTGCGGGCACTTTAGTGTCGTCATCAAGGCTCTAATACATACTTTTCCTTGCTAATGAGCGTAATCTTGAAGAAGCGGCACTAGACAATTGATATTTAACTTTCTGTAATTTTTTTCAATTTTTTTGTCAATATATTCGTCATTGATGCTTATAATTATTAATCTTGGACTGCACGTACATATTTGTATTTTTCTCCTTTTGCATATTTCTTCATTAAAGCCCACACTTTATTTGTCCTTTGCTCTTAAAGGCCCAACGCACCTTGAGCTTCTTTGCGCTTTTCGCCTTTGATAGCACTGGTCGAAGTATTACACTGGTTAGGATCAGAAATGTCGTGACCATATTGTTCTAAAATAGTTGCAACCATGTTACGGATCAGAAATACCATGACTGACTTGTTCTATTTGGAAATCAAAGGTGTAATTTGGAAACAATTTCTCATCAAGATAGTCTTTTCTTTTCTTGTAAGTTAATTGTAGATGGAATATCTTGTGTGCCTAGGTCTCCGTGAGTTATGGAACTTGCATAAGAATTTCTATGGTAAATGATTGATTGCCAGTTGTGAAATTAGTAATTTGTAAGCAGCTGAATGAGGTATTGGAAATTATAGGTTCTACAGTTGTCCAAATTGCAATGGGTTTTTGATTTTGGCACCAATTTATTTCTTCCAGAAAGGATCTTAATTAAATTAACAGTGATTGTTTGATGTACTTATCTATCTCCTCTGTTTCTGTTTTGACAACAAATGCAACTTATTTAGCTTCTTGCACGAGTTCTCAAAAAAAAAAAAAAAGATGTGGACAATTCATAAAAGTTCACATTCCTTATTTTTATCAGATGTGTCTTTTTCTGTTTATCATGGATCTGGACGAAAATTGTGCTGACTGAATCTTGGTCTTTAGGCCCCTTTAAAAAACAGTCCAAATGCCATGAAACTCAATCTCTTTTGTTTGTTCTTCGTGTCCATTATCTGTATTTCTGGATAGACTGCAAAACTTCTGTGTATGTATGTGCTGCTCTTACTGAATCACTGTCAGAAGCGTGCCGTTGCCCATCAACTATGTATATTGATGTGATATGTTAGAATTACTACTTTGAATGGTCGGTATATGCTACTGTCGTTGTCCTGTTCGAGCTCTCAGTACAATTCTGGAAGTATGCTTATGTTTTCATTTAATTTTATATTAGTCTTCTCGATGAGAGTTTCTTGCCTACTCTTATATTAACACTGGCCAGTGGCGTATCCAGGAATTATAGGTCGTGGGTGCTTCACTGATTTTAGTGTAAATTAACAGTGGTCAAACATGATCATAGTGGGTGCTCATGGTCAATTATTTAACTTTTTAGGTATCATCTATGAGTACATAACACAATTTGGCCTAAGCCAATGGGTGCTTCAGCACACATACCTCAAACGTAAATCCGCAACTGACATTGGCTGTAGGTCTTGTGACTTTCTTGTCAACTCATTATAACAGTTAAAGGAAGAAGGATTTGTATAAATGATTTTGTTTTTTCTTTTGGACGGTGGGGTTGTGGTGTTTGTGAAATAGAGTGAGTTCATTCGCATTATGCAATTACTGATGCATAAAAAATTCATCTTGGATGGTGGTATGAATGAGATCGAGGATTAGATATTGCTGCTTGAAGACATTTCTTGCCTCTAACCAACCAGAGAAACTACACCTAAGATAGTCTTAATCCAGTTCTCTGCATGACTGAAAATCCCCTTTTGTGTAATCATGTGAGGCAGTCGTCTCAGGCATATGCGTTGCCACTCAAATTGCTAATTGGAGATGCCTTTGAATAGGTAGGGTTTTTAGGATTCTCGATGTAGTTAGTGCTGAAGTTTACTAGACTACGGATGATGAAACAAACATAAAGACAATCCTTTGGCTGGAATTTTACTAGGATTACCTGGATAGACGCTCCTTTCTATTAGTTAGTAGTATCTCGATTGATACTCATTTCTATTAATTTTCCATTTTCCATGGGCTTTGGCTTCTGATCTGATAGAATGAGGCTTACTTCATTCATTAGCTATGCTTGTCTATCTGCTTTTGCTCTCCGGCAGTGGTAACATTAGAATCTCTCTTGTCGTGTGACTAGAGTTGCAGTAGAATTCTTGTTGGTTCAGCTTTTCTGCATGTTTAAAAGAATTGCTCAAAACTTGCAATAGTAACATATTTGACCCTTCTCTGATAGTGCAAGTTTGTGTTCATGTCTCCTCTTTGTATGTGAATTTAATCAATGCATTGCATTATATCATTATCAACTCATTAAGTTTATTGTTTCAGGAATACAATGAATTGTCTAACAGATAAAAGTGGGTCCATGTTCATCTATAGTTCTGTCTTGCTTACTTGTCTGTCAGTTGATACTGAGATGTACACATCAAGCCTGGGAATTAAAAAACTTCAGTTATATATATCCTCATATTTGTGCCTTTGATGCTATTATGGAACTTATTAGATCTTCCTCTCTTAAGGGGAATGTGCAGACCTCTACTTGTGTACTCTTTTTCGACAAGAAGTCGTTCTCTTCTTCAAACTTATATTGTAATTTTTATTGATGAAGAGCCTCTTATCGATATGAAAATTTACACTTTGTGCTAAACTTACTCTATTATTCTTCTTCTCTGGTATAGATTTTTGAATTAGAAGCTGCAGCAATGTCCCCAGCATCTAGGTCCAAGCCAAAGGACAAAAAGGGTGGCAAGGAACCACCCAAAGCTGCTTCAAAGCCTTCAAGTGTAAATGCAGGTGCTGCAACACCCACTAGTGGATACAATCCTCTTTTAGGAACATTCCATACGCTTGAGACAGCTCCTGTGACTTCAAATGCTGCTCTTCATGTGAATGGTCGTTTCAGAAATATTGACGAGACAGATGACCATAGTGGGCACTCACTTGGAGCTAGCACTGAGTATGATTCTGTTTCCAATAATGGTAGCTGGTCTGGTGAGTCCGAGGACCATAAAGAGAAAACGTCCAATCCTCCTCCCCGGCCAGAGACAGTACCTGGCTCTGACAACGACAAGCGCGAAAAAATCCGTCAGAAAAATGAGAAGAAGCATCAACGTCAAAAGGAGAGACGAGCTCAAGAATTGCATGAAAAGTGCAGTGGCTATCTCATGTCGAGAAAGCTGGAAGCTCTTGCCCAGCAGCTTGTGGCTATGGGATTCTCTTCAGAACGAGCGACAATGGCTCTTATCTTGAATGAAGGCAGAGTAGAAGAATCAGTGTCGTGGTTATTTGAAGGAGGTGAAGAAGCAGATAAACATAAGGAACATAATCTTGATGGTGCGGGTAATCTGAAAATTGACATTTCAGAAGAGCTTGCCCGAATTGCGGACATGGAAATTAGGTATAAGTGCTCCAGGCAGGAGGTTGAAAGAGCAGTAGTTGCCTGTGAGGGTGATCTCGAGAAGGCTGGAGAGACTTTGAGGTCACAAAAGCAGGAACCTCATTCTGTTCCATCTAAGCCTGAAGAAAGTGGTGATCTTCCTACCGTGGGCAATGGCAAGCTTCCAGTTGTCAACAGTCAGAACTTACTAAGAGCACCTGTAAAACCTTCATCCAGCACAATATTGCCAAAGAGGGATGACAGAGACTTCAATTATACGAAAGTTGCAGCCACAGCAGGGTCTTCTGCGGATAATGGGAGCAAAAGTATACAATCATTAAAAAAGGCTCAACCGAAACTGGACTGGGCCAAGCCACCGCAGGTGGTGGTGCCTGCTGACAAAAGGTGGCCAAATGCTGGATCGAATCCTTCTGTTTCGTATTCTTTGGCATCTCCTCTGCAGGCATCACCCTCATCTGCCAAGTCAGAAGCTCGTTATGTGGCTGTAGGAAATGAGTTGAAGAATCTACAACTAGGAACCGTGAGAGAACCAGTCATAGTTATGCAGCGACCCAATCAATCAATTAATCCTAAGCAGACTCCCACCTTAACTGTTAGCTCTTCTCCACCTGGAACTGCAGCAGGGTGGTTTCCTAACAATTCTATTGAAACAATGAAACCCAATGGACTGATGCCACATATTCCTGGCACAAGAAGCCTGAGCACAAATGGTGTCAGCACAAACCAGTTGTACAGCCAACTTCAGTATCAACAGCACCAACTTGTTTCTAGCAGTGGCTCACTTGAATCGCCAGGAATAAGCCGGGGGAATAGTTTGTGGAATAGAACAGGTGCTCTGCAGACACAAACCCTTTCTCCAGCTTCCTCGCTTGGACTCTTCTCTGGGTTTGGAACCAATGGTGCATCTGGATCAGCATCTCCAGTTGATTGGAACAGTGGTGGTGGCTCAATGGTGCAGCTAGACTACGCCAACATAGATTGGAGTTTAGATCGTGGGACTTCATCATCAAGATTAGGTGGCATGTGGTCAACGACGAACTCTCTTATGCCAAACAATGCTCGTACATATGATTCATTTACCCCTGGACTCGGTGTTACATCTGCCATGAGACCTGTTCTGTCCAATGGAGGCGGTGTCTCAATTCCCGGATTGCAGGAAAGAGTTGCGACAGCGGAAACATCTACTGGTGGTTCTCGGGAGTGGACTTCTCCATTTGAAGAGAGAGATCTTTTTAGCTTACCAAGACAGTTCGTTTCTTCCCCTTCACTGTAGGAATGGTGAAGTGGAATTGAAATGAATAAAAAGGAGAAAGAAATGAAAGAGACCAGTAAATGTGCTTGAATTTGATGTTGGTGTTGGTTCTTATGATGCTATTTCCATGTTGATGTTTGTTATGATCATCTTAGTGGAAGAGCATCCCTGTCCTTTGGTTTATACTTGGTTCTTCCGTCTTAATTCCCCTGTTTTCGCCCCCAACCAGCCTTTAATTCTCAAACATAAAGTCCTCTCAAGAAAAATAAAAAGGAAACAAGAAAAATGTCTCCCTTTACATCAAGCTTAACAATTTAACTTACGAGTCACTATTAAAGCGATATTAGTTCAAATTATTAATTTGCAGTAAGAAGAAAATTGCTAGCGAAATTAGGAATACAATAGTATAGGACAAGTCCCAACGATATTTGATATTAAAAAGTATTTTGCTCCTCACATTAACACAACGAAATTGACATTTCTCGAAGGAAAATTAGTTCAAATTATCCCGATCACTAGGAGTAGCAAATTCAAGGTCCTTATCATTCTCGAACACAGACATTTCTTGTTCGTTCAAGTTCACCAACGCTTCTACTCCTCTATCTGGAGTATTCATTAAGATAAAGTTGTTGCTAAATTGACCAATATTTCCTAGGCTTCCTCTCGCAGGTCTCCCCCATCCAAAATCTAGTTTCTCGTATTCGTACATTAATGTACTACTACAAAGGTACACATCACAGTTCCTTCGATTGAATAACTCTTTTCCTGTTCAATATGCATCTAGCATCTCTTTAACCCACTCATTTTCTTCGAGATTATTTCTGCCGGAGAGGTGGTTTTTGGAATTTTTTATATCTCGTACTGGTTCCTGAGGTCTCGTTCGTTATTATATATTGGTGTAGAAAAGACTGTCAGAATAATCCCTATGGTACTTGGTCGTAGTGGAGGTGAAATTCTTTCTCGGAGATTTGAGTATTGAATCAACTGAGATCGCTGAAATGAACCCGGGCTACGACTTACAGCAAAGGCAACACATTTGTAGAGAAGGGCATTCACGACCTCGCTCCTTGTTGGTTTTTGTAGTCCTGATTCATCAGCAATATAGGCTTTGAGAGCACTTAATTTCGAGTCAGAAAAAACAAACCTCTTTTGGATACAATCCTTGTGTTTCGACTCGATTACACGTGAAACTAGAGGACCATCAAATGGTGATGGAAGTAGGGAAAATATACTGGAGATACTTTTGCATTTGGATTTCGAGTTAGTGCAGCCCAATCTCTCAAAAAATAGTAACCACTACATGCATCTCCCACTTTCTCTGAAAGGCGAACACTAATTGCTATTGGGATTTTTCATTCCTATACACTATTTGAAACCTTATTACGAAAAATGTTCATGTATTGGTATTTACTCGACCTAAACACATTTTAGTTACAAAATATATACAATTCACCTTAAAAGGCTCCCAATCCATTATTTGTGCCTTCAATCAAGGGATTTAGTTACACCCTTTTCCTTTTTTCTCTCCTCTCTCCCCTCTTCTCTCCGGATTCTGTCTTTCTCCCCATATCTGAGTAAACAATTTCCCAACTAAATCTACTAACTTCACCCATAGTGTACATTTACACCAATTCATATTCCTTTTTGTCCAAAAAAAAAACTCTGTTTCTAAAGCAAAACAGATGTAAATCTACTAACTTCACTACAAAAGCTGTTGAATCTTCACAAAAATACTTGCAGAGGTACACAACAAACAGAATTAACGAAGTAATGTTTATACAGACGCTGAAAATTAGCTAAATTAAATAACACTCCAGTCTTGTCATTGTGTGGCAGAGAAGGTATATTATTACCTTAAGTTGACACTATTTGCCACAGTCTTTCTTACATTGTTCTCATTTCTTATAATTCTTTGTTTGCCAACTTCAAAGCTTTGCACGTGCAAGGCATAATAAAGTTAATACGGGCTAATTCGTTTCTAAATAAATGATTTCAACTGTTCAATTATAACTTCAAACTCCAATACAGGAAAAGGGTAGAGTCATTACTTGCACGTGCCACTTAGAATAGACAGGGTACAAATTTTCTTTAGTTTTATGTTAAAAGTAAGAAGAGATTTGTCATTTTACACGTAAGAAATCTGAAAATAAAAATCAAACGATCTTTACAAGTTGTTTACAAATGATTTATACATAGTAAAAATAAATTTCATACAATTAATTATATATTATACAACTTATCTACAACTTTCACACATTATTTCTACTCAGTTATATACAACTACAATATCATACCACGTAAATATAAATTTTATACAATATATCTTTTGTATATTTTGTATCTGATTTATACATAGCAAAAATAAAATTCATACAACTAATTATATATTATACAACTTATCATATATTATTTCTACTCAGTTATATACAACTACAATATCGTATAACTTAAATATAATTTTTATACAATGTTGTTCAACTTTCATACAATATTTAAACAATATATATATATATAAACAACAGAATATAATTTTTCTACAATTTTACTACAATTTCATAAATATAATGTACAAAATATCTTCTTCTTCTTCTTCTTCTTCTTCTTCTTCTTCTTCTTCTTCTTCTTCTTCTTCTTCTTCGAGTTTCAATCTGAAATTCAGCCAAAATCACGTCTAATCTTCACCAAAACTCCTCAAAATTGAGATATAAACTCCAAACCATATTCCCAATTGTTTGCAACAACACCCAATCCAAACAAATAATAATTTTTAAAAACCCGAATTCGAATTCAAAACTTCAAAGCTTTTTAATGGCTGTCAATAGTGGAATTGCTGCTCTCTTTCCTTTGCTTTACATTACTGAAATTGGGGATTGAGAGATAGAGAGAGACGTAGAGAGAATTCCCAATTCTTTGCAACAACACCCAATTCAAACAAATAATATTTTTTGAAAACCTAAATTCGAATTCAAAGCCTCAAAGCTTTTTAACGGTTGTCAATGGTGGAATCGTGGGTGAGTGCAAGATACGTGGGGGAGGGGGGGTGGTATGTGGAGAGAGAAATGTGGGGGAGTGGAAGATACATTAGAGTAAGGCTAATTATTATCATTAATTCCCTTAAAATGTACATAAATGGTAATTGGGTATATAAAATGTAATTATAGTAAAACTTGAATAGAGAGGGTAATATAATTTCATATAGTGTATAGGACTGTAAAAATTCCATTGCTATTCCACCGCAATCAAAATGACTAATTTGGACTATAGTTAAGGCGCGATCAATACAACTATCCCAAGGTAAACCTTGACGAAATGTCAAATCTTTGATATTTGAATAACTTTATCCATTTGAGAACTAATTTGAACTTGAAAGAAGTCAGCTCCACAATCAATAGTGGCATTGTCTTTTGGACTTCCAGCACAAGGATAGTAACAAGTTAAAGTTTTTGACAAAAGATTTGGTAGTTGTTTAGGTCCATTTGAGATAGTAGCTACTTGATGTTTGGGGTAGAAAAAGACAAAGGGGCATATAAGTTGTGAGTAAGGCCTTGATCTAAAAGGGAAAGTTTGTGACATCTTTGAATAGATGGGGTGGGAGAAGAGGGTTTGATAATTTTCTTGGAAATTGTTGATAGGATTCTTGATACACTCACCATCTTTACAAAACCTTCACCAATGACTCCTTCTCTTTTTTTTTCCCTATAAAGCTTTGTATATATATGTGTACATACACACCCACCAGCCTTCAACCACTGCAAAAAAAAAAAAAAATAATTTAAATAGACAAAGTTCCGAATTAAGCTTTGCCAACATGCATCGAGTTGACATTAATTAATATTAAATTAAAAAAGTATACAAAAACCGCGTGACATTAGGCATCTATACGTGGGGTATAATAAATCTAAAATTAAAGAATTTCTAATTGGAGAAGAAATAAAATAAGTAATTAATTTTGAATTCGGTGTAAATTATTTTGATTACCCAACTTTACCTTAAAAATCAAACTCCTCCTCCAATAATAAACAATAGACATTATGCTCCTTCTATCATATGCATTATCTATTTTATCCTTAATAATTTAAATTCCTCCTCTTTGCATATATTTTTTAATCATATTACATGCGATATATTTTGTCTTTAGCTAGGTGTTTTGCCAATGTAAATATCTTAATATAAATTTTATAATTAAAGCTTAATGGGCTCCGAATCCGCGCATAATGGGAGTTTAATACACCGGGCTACCTTTTTTATACCTAAAGCTCAATAAAATTTAACTAGAATAGTACCTTTGTGAATTTTTAACAAATTTTATCGTTACTCCTTTTTATTGTTACTTTATTAAGTATATATTTCAGTTTTACTTTCTCTTTTATACTTGATATATATATATATATATATATATATAATATATATATATATTTGAGTTTTTATTCTTATTAAATATTTTCTATGATAAAAAAATAGTTTCTAAGCTGTAATCTAAAGAACATATAAGGTATAGATATGCAATCTTTTAGGAATTTATTATAAAATTTGCCTCTATTTTTAATTATTTTTTTTATATTAATAAACAAATTATCATTTTATATTAAAGCACAAACTTTTATTTTATTGATATTAATAAGATCTTTTATTCCAATATTGAGGATAAAATAGGTATTTTAAAAATATAATCGAGTTTGGAGGAGCAGAAAATCTATTGTTTAATGTTGGAGGAGGAGTTTGATTTTTAAGGCTGAAGTTGGGGGATCAAAATGATAGATGCCCAATTCACGCGATTTTTGTGGTAAATACATATTGGTATTAGGCGGTTAAATCAAATCAAACCGTGATAAGTTTATATAGTTTGGTAAAAATGGTTGGTGCATACAATGTTTTTACAGAATATAATGGTTCTTGCAATGGTGATATTTTTAATTAATACTAACTGACAGTGTACAGAATATTCAATGTAATTTGATGAGATATGACAGGTTACACAGGAGTATTTGTTTTAGATTACGGATCAATATTTATTATTTAAAGGTACATACAATTAACTTTTAACAGAAGTGATTGTACAATTTATTTGTTCTATACTCTATATGGCGTAAAGATTTTCAGTCATTTTACGGGTGTACATGGACCGGGTTGGTTTTGATCATCAAAACCAAACCAAACCAATTAGAGAAATTTTCATAAAGCAC